TCTAAAATCTTCCGAAATACGCTTTTGATCAAAAACACATCTAAACCACATCCAAATGACCTGAAATTTTGCACACACATCCCAAATGACACAACGAAGCTACTGCAACTCTCGAAATTCCATTCTGACCCCTAATTCAAAATCTCGCCTATCAACCGGAAATCGCCAAAATATCAACTTCGCCAATTCAAGCCTAATTCTACTCCGGACCTCCAAAATCCATTTCGATCACACTCCTAAGTCATAAATCACCTCCCGAAGCTAACCAAACCATCAGAACTCACATCCGAGCCCTCTAACACATAAGTCAACATCCGGTTGACTTTTCCAACTTAAACCTTCTTAAAAGAGACTAAGTGCCTCAAACCTTACCGAAATCATTCCAGACTCGATCCGACCAACCCGATACCACAAAATATGGATAACGAAGCATAAAGAAGCAGAATTAGGGGAAACGGAGTGGTAACTTATGAGGTAACTGGTCGGGTCGTCACAGAAAAAAGGGCAAGCTAAGCCCTAGATTCATTGGTCCTTTTGAAATTCTTGATCGAGTGGGAGAGGTGGCTTACAGACTTGCGTTACCACCGAGTTTATCAGCCATGCATCCAGTGTTTCATGTGTCCATGCTTCGGAAGTATCACGGCGATCCATCCCACGTGTTAGACTTCAGCACTGTCCAGTTGAACAAGGACTTGTCCTATGAGGAGGAGCCGGTAGCTATTCTAGACCAGCAGGTTCGTCAGTTGAGATCGAAGAGTTTTTCTTCTGTTCGTGTTCAGTGGAGAGGTCAGCCTGTTGAGGCAGTGACCTGGGAGTCCGAGTCCGATATGCGGAGCCGATATCCCCATCTTTTCTCTGACCCAGGTACTTTTCTTATGTCCGTTCGAGGACGAACGATTATTTTAGAGGTGGAAAATGTGATGACCCAAAAGTTCATCACTCATTTTGGAAGTTAATTTTGTGTTACAATGCCTTAAAACCTCTTTTTGTCTCACCTCGATTTGCGAGCACAGTCCGGGTGCGTTTCCGGTAAGCTTTTATGTGAAATCTAAGTAAAATAAGGAAATTGGCCTTTAAAATTGATTAAAGTTGACTTTGGTTAATATTTTTGATAAACGAACCCAGACCCGTAATTAGGGGTGTGCATTCGAATGGGTTTATCGATAAATCGAATCGATTATTTGTTATCGGTTTATCGATATCGGTTTATCGATTTATCGATTTTGATTTCGATTTCAAAATTTTCCTTATCGAGTTATCAATTTCGATTTTGATTTTGTCCTCTTCGGTTATTGGTTTATCGATAATCGATAAGATATACTAAAAAGATAAAATTATAATTTTTTTTTAACCCTTATTCTATAATACCCTTTCCTTTACCATAAGTCCCTAACCCTATTATTTCCTCTACCACATTTAAGGAATGATCATATTTAAAGCTCAAGGGAAGGAAGTTCAAACTAATGGAAAACAAAATTAGCCGTGATGATGTATTCTTTTTTTTATACCGTTGGAGTGTTGGTGGCATACGTTTGATCCCTTACTTTAGTTTCGTTGCATGTGCTTGTTGACAAAATTTTTATGTTATAAACGTTGTTCATCTTATTTTAGCTTCTTTTTGTCCATATTAGTTAGGCGTGTTTATAGCGATATACTTTTCGTGGAATCCCGCAAATTTTCTTATTGGTGTAGTCGATAACCGAATCGATAAGCCCCAAAAATCGATAAATCGAAATCGAAAAAATCAAAACCTTATTGAAACGATAACGATAAGCATATGTACAAATCAAATCGATAAGTAATTATCGATAAGGGTCAAAATTGAATCGATAAATCGAATGCACACCCCTACCCGTGATCCGACGGTCTCGTAGGGTCCATAATAAAATAATGGACTTGGGCGTATGCCCGGAATCGAATTTCGAGGTCCCAAGCCCCAGAACTAATTTTTTGAAAGAAATTGTTTAACTGAAATTATATGAGTTTTTGGAAATGTTTGAAGTTGATGGTATCGGACCCGTATTTTGGTTCCGGAGCCCGGTAAAAGTCTTATATAATAATTAAGTTGAATCTATGAATTTTGGTAAAAATTGGAGTTTGTTTAGTATAAATCGGACCTTTATTTGAGAAAATAGAAATTTTGATGTTCATGAGTGATTTCATGAATTTGAGGTTTAATTCATAGTTGTTGATGTTATTTTGATGATTTGATCGCACGAGCAAGTCCGTATGATATTTTTGGACTTGCTTGCATTTTTGGTTTACAGTCCCGTGAGCTCGGGTTAGTTTTGGATAGGCCACGGAGTGAAATTGGACTTAGGAAGACTGTTGGTATGTTGCAGGTCTGCACGCTTCGCAATTGCGAAGCCTGGCTCGCAATTGCGAGCTCGCATTTGCGAAGAAACATTGCAATTGCGAAGATGGGCTGGGCAGGGAGACCTTCGCATTTGCGAGGCTCAATGTCGCAAACGACCTTAGCAGGTACCGCAATTGCGAACAGTTGTTCGCATTTGCGAAGAAAGCAAGGGCAGGCCTACCTTCGCATTTGCGAAGCCTGGGCCACATTTGCAAGTTCGCATTTGCGAACCTGACTTCGCAAATGCGATATCTGCACCTGTGCAAATTATAACTTAGACGAAATCTCTTCATTTTTGAAACTCTCTCAAACCCTAAGCTCTCTTGGGCGATTTTTCAAAGAAAAGTTCTTCTCTAAATCAATTGTAAGTCATTTCTAACTCATTTTCTTCAATCTATAACATCTTTTTACATGTTTTCAATTCAAAATCAAAGGTTTTCATGGGAGAAATGGGTGTTTTTTGGTAGAACTTAGAATTTATAGTTTTTGGGGATTTGGACCTCGATTTGAGGAATAAGGAGCACCTCTTTATATCCACCAATAATAGATTCATAATGCAAGAAAAACATAATTAATTAGCAAGTAGCAAGAAGAGCATAAATAATTAGCAAGTAGCAAGAAATGGCAATACATATCTTAATCACGCCACAATTCACCCACTAAAGCAAGTGTCAGCAAGTAATCATAAAGGGTGGCAAAAAAGGGAAAAAGAGCAATTTGTTCATTTTACACTTTCTTGTCAACTTCCTTGGTTATAGCATTTTTTTATGCTATATGTATAGCGTATAAATTTAAAAAGTTATATATGTCAGTCAAATCGTCAGGCTATATAGCGTCCAAATACAATACGCTATACCTTAACGGTAAAAGTTACCGTTAAGGTATAGCATCTTGTATTTTGACGTTATATATAGAAAGGTAATATTTTTTTACACTTATTAATGTACTTTGAGTCCAAAAAAATAACAATGGGTTCCGAACTCCCCAAATTTACCTTATCAATCATATCATAACTACTATGTATAAGGGTGGAGCTACTAAAACAAGCTATAAGTTCTGTGATAAATTTAAAACTCATAAACTTCAATCTGACCTATGTCAAGAGTCCGAAACTTTTTTGATGATTTTTTGGACAAAAAACACATTTTTAATGCTAAAAAAAAAGTTACACAAATAGGTATTTCGCAGTATTATACTGCGAATTACTTTAACGAAAATTTAGCCGTTAAAGTAATTCGCAGTATAATACTGCGAATTATAAAAAAAAAATTTAATAATTCGCAGTATTATACTGCGAATTATTAAAAAAAATTTAACTAATTCGCAGTATAATACTGATTATTAAAAAAAATGCACTAATTCGCAGTACAGTACTGCGAATTATTTAAAAAAAAATTTGACTAGCGGCCCCACCAATTAACTGACATAACAATAATTCAAACACATAAAACGTAGTACTATACTGCGAATTAATTATTAAATTTTTCTACAAGAAAGCAATTTTTTTCACATGGGTTTCATCTTTTTCACAATTAACTAATTTTATTTTGGTTGTGTTATTGGTTGCTAAAGTCTGAGTTTATTATATCCTAGATGGGTCTTGTTTAATTGAGCAGATTTTATTTTCTTAGTGAAAGTACTTATTTATCACATAGGTAATTACACTTAATTGAATCTCTTTAGAATCTTAATAAGTATTAGATGCTATTTATTAAAATCATTAAGGTAATAATAACATTGAAATTTCTTCTAATAGTATTCCTAACACACTGTAGTTATCGTCTACGATTTTACTCTTACTCTTTCAAATATTCAAATCAACTTTGTTTGCTTTCTTTAAAAACATTTCTGAAATAATTTGTCTAATATTTGAGGTTTGGTTTTAACAACTTAAAGTTGACTTTAGGACGATCCACTTTGGACAAAAAACAGTTTCTTAACAATGTAAGTCCAAATCATTTTTCCTTAAGACAAAGACAAATGTTTTCAGCGGTGATTTTTTGAGTGAATTTGATTCTCTAAAACACAATTAAATTTATAATTAGTATTAATTAACTTAAGTTTGGCCGATTAATCGTAATTAGCAGATCATAGAGGGTGCCTTAATAACCTTCCGTATATGATTAATTAGAACCCTTACCTAGAATTTCTAAGTTAAGCAAATCATAAAATTGAGTTAATTTTAAGCATTACTTAGCTATAATTGGTGTCCTAATTCACCGTTAAAATAATTAGGTGGCGACTCTCTTTAATTGATGTGTTTGAATTATTGTTATGTCAGTTAATTGGTGGGGCCAAATTAATAAAGGTACTGCGAATTAGTCAAATTTTTTTTTTTTAAATAATTCGCAGTACTAGTACTGCGAATTAGTAAAAAAAAATTTTTTTTTTAATAATTCGCAGTATTATACTACGAATTAGTTAAAAAAAAAAATTTATAATTCGCAGTATCGGCTAAATTTCTGTTAAAGTAATTCGCAGTATAATACTGCGAAATACCTATTTGTGTAACTTTTTTTTTTAGCATTAAAAATATGCTTTTTGTTCAAAAAATCGTCAAAAAAGTTTCGGACTCCTCAACTAGAGTCTGGTCATATTAGTTGTCACTTTCTATTCCGCAACTATCTATAAATATCCCTAACTCTTAACACATTGTCTATTTCTTTTTCTTGTTTGCCCTTTTTAGGCATTAAGACATATAGTACATAGTGTTGCATTATTATTATTTCTAGGCTCTAGCTTGGAAGAGAGATGGCTGCTTATAGTTATGCACTTCAAGTGAACAAATGCTCTTCGCCGCAGAGGCCTTCACTTCCGCAGAAAATTGAGCATTTCAGTAATCCACTCTCAACTAGTTTCAAGGTAAACTTTCCTCTTACTTCAACATTTTCTGTGACGTTTTCTGGATAAGCTTTAGAGCCGTTTGCATTGGCTTAAAAATAGTGGTTTTAAAGCAGAAATATTTTTTACCTAAAAAGCAATAAGTTAGGGTCGTCTTCTTGCTTTTGACTTGTTTTAAGCAGTTTTTATTTTTTGACTTTGACAAACACTAAAAAACTCAAAAAAGAGTTTAAAAGCTGATTTTGCCAATTTAAAAGCAAATGCAAACACCCTCTTATATATTCATCATAAAAACTAGTATTCCTTTTTGTAAAAACTCCCTCCATTCCATTTCCATTTTATGTGACACTATTTTGACTGGCCATGAAAATTAAGTTTTTAAAAAAAAAATCTAAACCAAATTATAAATATTTATTTGACTCAAATTATTTTATTAAGAGTAGAATGTGAAGTTCAAAGATACTTCCAAACGGACTCTAAAGAAAAATGAATCATATTGAATAGAAAGAATACTAGTACTATGTCTCTGGCACATTTTTCGAGCACATTAACTAAGTGTAAAATATTAAAGCAACTTGGTTACTTTGACTAACGTATTTGATTAGTCACATATGGGGGCATGCACTGTCCAGATTCTCTCTGTTAGTCATTATTGTGCTGGAGTGCTTACACATTCTTTTCTTATAGCTTGTTTGGCCAAGTTTATTTTTGGTCAAAAGTATTTTTTTTGTTAAAAATACTTTTGGCCAAAAATTGAGGTATTTGGCCAAGCTTCTATAAGGAAAAACTGTGCTTTTGAAGAGAAACAAGCAGTTTTGGAGAAGCAGAAAAAAGTAACTTCTCTCCAAAAGCACTTTTTTGAGAAGCACTTTTGAGAAAAATACACTTAGAAGCAGTTTTTTAAAGCTTGGCCAAACACTAATTGCTGCTCAGAAGTGTTTTTCAAACTAATTAGCCAAACACAAACTGCTTCTTACCAAAAGTACTTTTGAGAAAAATACTTTTGAAAAAAAGTATTTCTCAAAATAAGCTGATTTTTACAGCTTGGCCAAACGGGCTATTACTCTTTCACTTTAATTTCAAAATTCAACACAATTCGGTTATTTACATATCCAATAAGTTCTGATCCATGCAAAAAATTCGACATTTCGTCTTCTCAAACAAACACTTTTATGTCATCTGCCAAAGCATAATTTTTTATGCTTATTACTTATGAATTTGCACCCTTGAGTCCCTGGATGTTATTAACTACATACTACTCTTATATATGTCACAGGTTAGAAATATTACAAATAGGTAGATGTGTATATTTATATAAAATGTATGCAGGGGCGAATCTAGACCTTCGCCAAATGACTCGTCCAAACTCAATATTTTCAACATAGAGCATGACGTATATGTGAAAATCTATCAAAATTTCAGTAAATATTTGATATCAACTTATTATTTTAGAAATATAATAAATTCAATACCAAAAATATCAAAACCAAGTTAAAATTATGTCGATCGATCCATGAAAGTATGCATTTGTATGTCAAACGGCAGTATGCATGCGCGCATATATATATATATATATATATATATATATATATATATATATATATATATACACACACAAATGTTAGAGTTCTAGATCACCGACTAATTCTAACTCTAATACTAACTCTAGTTAAGTTACTAACTCACTTGCTAACCACTTGCTTAACTAACTCACTAACCAACTAATGTCACATCAGCTTGCTATACTCTCAACACTCCCCCTCAAGNCGGAAAGTTCAAAGGGAAACCTACTTATCCAGATGCAATTAATCCTTACTTGCAAATCACACAGCTTTCATCTATGATCATTCTTGTTACAGCCATTCCCATTCATGTGGGGGATTGTTGGACTTTAAGCATTGGGCTTTAAAGACTTTAAGCATTGGGCTTTAAAAGTCTAAGAGTGTGAATTGGAATTGGTGGGAAATAAAATGGAGGGAAATGAAAATTTGAATGAAGTGAGCTTTTGTCTTGAACTTTGTCCCTCATTGGTGAGGGACAACTAGATTTGTGTGTATATATATAGGATCACTTCTTAGAGCTCTTAAAAGGAGTTGAAGAGAATGAATCCTCGCGCCGTCGTCGTCGCTCGCTCGGCTCGGCTTTGGGTTTGGGTTTGGGTTTGGGTTTGGATTTGGATTTGTCAAATGATCGATAAGATTATTTTTTGGACAAAATTTATTTAATTAATTATTTAATAATTAATTAAAAGTCAGTCAGTTAATTAACGAAATTAACTGAAATCTGAAATCCAAAAACGTTGAACGTTAATTTTTCCCTTCTGAACAGACACTTTTCCTGAACAGACATCACACCTCTTCCGATAATTGCCTATAAATTCTGAGGCATGGCTGCATTTTCGATACACTGAAAAATTACAGAACTTCCTTCCTTCTGAAAATCCTGCATTCTATTTCGCAGAATCTCTTCTAAATTCGTAAGTGTGATTTTGCTCCGTTTTTTGAGTTCGTTGGTATCCTGCAGTTTGTATTGCCACTGTTGCAGGAAGGTTTATTCTGTTTCATCCTGGGAGGATTTAATCCATTACCTTGGCAACGTGTGAGGGGGTTAAAATTCCTTAAGGACGCACAAGCAAATTGTGGACTCGGAATATCTTTTATACTTTACTGTTTTCCCAGTTTTTTTTCTTCTAACAGTCTTTCTGATTTTGTGTTTTAACACAGTAGCGTTCACAAGCTTAAGAAATTTTATCTAACGTTTCTGTGTTCAAATATATATTAAACTGTTATCTATATTTTGTATACTGGTTTGGAGACTAAAGCCTTCGTGCTTTATACTCCAATAATTGTTCTGTCTGGTTTAAAGTATATCAAAACTTTACCGGAATAATAAACGTACGGGTTTGAAGTATATAAGAACTTCACTATTGTTACGTGTTGTATGTTTGGTTTGGTATTCAGTTTGAAGATATCAAAACTTCACTGATTTAACAAAGTTCTGTTTTGTTTCCAACTCTATAGAAAAATGACGAATTAAAACCAAACTAATGGAAATGATGCGGGAACGGGTGCTACTGTTACGAGTGTTGCTGCCTCGTCAAGCCGTTCAACTCCTGCTCATGCTATGGCACCAGCAGAAAAACCCGGAAAGTTTTTCGGTATTGACTTCAAACGTTGGCAAATGAAGATGCTCTTCTATCTTACTACGTTGAGTTTGCAGCGTATTTATCAAGGAGGATCCTCCGGTCATGGCTGAAGGCACTCCGGATGACGAACGATTTGTTGTAACCGAAGCATGGAAACATTCTGATTTCTTGTGCAAAAACTACATTTTGAGTTGTTTGGAAGATAGCTTGTACAATACCTATAGTGTCATGGAAACTTCAAAAGCATTATGGAATGCGCTTGAGAGAAGTCAAGACTGAGGATGCCGGACTTAAGAAGTTCGTGGCTGCAAGATTTTTGGATTTGAAGATGATTGACACTAGGTCGGTCATAACTCAAGTCCAAGAATTACAAGTCATTGTGCATGACCTCCTTGCTGAAGGTATGACCCGAATCAATAATTTTATTAATAAGATTTATCTTGTTATTAATTATGAATTTATTATTGAAGGTATGGTCATAAATGAGGCCTTTCAAGTCGCCGCTTTCATTGAGAAGTTACCTCTGTTGTGGAAGGACTTTAAGAACTATCTAAAACACAAGCGGAAGGAGATGACACTTGAAGACTTGATTGTTCGTCTGAGGATAGAAGAAGACAACAAAAATGCTGAAAAGAAGTCACGTGAAAACTCGACAATAATAAGGGCTAAATTGTTGAGGAGGCGCCACAAAATAAGAAGAGAAAGAAGGCTTCTGGACCAAAGAATTACCCAAGCAAGAAAAAGTTCAAGGGTAATTGCCACAACTGTGGAAAATCTGGGCATAAGGCCGTGGATTGTCGTGCACCAAAGAATGATAAGAAGAAGAAGAATCAAGCTAACATGGTTGAAAATGCTGAAGAAATGGAGGACTTGTGTGTCATGTTGTCTGAATGCAACTTGGTAGGAAATCCTAAAGAATGGTGGATAGATTCTGGAGCCACCCGCCATGTTTGTGTTAACAAGGAGTTATTTTCTTCTTATGCCTCCGCAGGACCCGACGAGACAATTTTCATGGGAAATTCGTGTACAGCCAAAATTGAAGGAGTTGGCAAGATTGCGTTGAAGATGACGTCGGAAAAAATAGTGACTCTAAACCAAGTTCTCCATGTTCCAGAAATTCGCAAGAATCTTGTGTCTACCTCACTTCTTGTCAAGAATGGATTCAAATGTATTTTTGTTTCTAATAGTGTTGTACTAAGTAAGAATGATGTGTATGTAGGAAAAGGTTATCTGAATGAGGGCATTTTTAAGCTAAATGTAATAGCAGTTCCTATTAATAAAGTTAATGCTTCTTCTTACTTACTTGAGTCAAACACTTTATGGCATTCATGCTTAGGTCACGTCAACTTCAAAACATTGCGAAAAATGATAAATTTAGAAGTATTGCCAAAATTTGATTGCATTAATTTCAAATGTCAAATATGTGTGGAATCAAAGTATGCTAAGCATCCTTATAAGTCCGTTGAAAGGAATTCAAGTCCTTTAGACTTAATTCACACAGATATTTGCGACATGAAGTCAACACCATCTCGCGGTGGGAAAAAGTATTTTATTACTTTTATTGACGATAGCACGGGATATTGCTATGTTTATTTACTTAATAGTAAAGATGAGGCAATTGATGCTTTCAAGCAATACAAGAGTGAAGTTGAAACACAACTAAACAAAAAGATCAAAATGATAAGAGTGATAGGGGTGGCGAATATGAATCTCCTTTTGAAGAAATATATTTGGAAAATGGCATTATTCACCAAACAACTGCCCCTTACTCTCCACAATCTAATGAAATTGCGGAGAGAAAGAATCGAACGTTGAAAGAGATGATGAATGCGTTGTTGATAAGTTCTGGTTTACCACAGAACTTGTGGGGGGAAGC